ATATATATATATATATATATATATAAAGGGACTGGATTACCACGTTTTTACCAGGTACGGTCATAGCCACAGGTACGTTTTAACAGAGAAGTCCAAAACATGAATTTGCATAATGCATCCATAGTCATTTCGCTGCGTCTGTACACGTGCATACTACAGGCAAGATGATCTTTTTATAGTCAGTGGAATAATGACATAGTTATTTTACCGCAAGTTTCTGACTTCCCGTGTATGCTTTCGGGGATGGACAACATAGATTTTTTCACACCTATTCATCTTTTACACTCGTGCAATGGTGTTTTGATCATCCTCTTTCGGATGTTTAATAATATCCGTTAGAAATTGATTCATTCAATATAAACTTACTGGGTGAGAAGAATGTCTTGTATGGAATATAGGTGTGATATCCATACAGATTTGGAAGTATTTTGCGGACCAGAAATAAGTAGTGTCTATTCTTCGGATACAAAACCGATGTGGATGTCGGATCGATACCTTTGTAGACTTTGCGCGCGCAGTTGAAAAATTCGCCACACCAGTGATCCACTTCCGACGCTTTCTGAGCATCACTCAGATACTGAAGCAGACGATAGGCTGTCTCGTTCAGTGTGCTGTCGTTCTTTTCCCCCTCCCAGCCAACAAGCCAATTTTGTAACCTGACTGGGAATTTGGCTGACACTTTCTAGAAAAAGGATGAGCAGACATGACGCACGTGAACTACAACACAGATTGCACGGATAGAAAGAAGCCTAAATGTGATTCGCTTCAGTTGTGAAACCATCAGTAACCCCACACACCTACACTTACACTGCGCAGTATATATACACTCTAGCATAATGCTCCACGAGACCACACTGATGGCTCCGAGGATTTTCTTTTCTATATTCAATCATCCAACCAGCTTACAGAGGCATATGACATCCATCAATTAGCACCTAAGTTGGTTGCCCTTATAGTCGGTCGGAATTTATGGCATATGCTCTATCAATCTGTGTCTCATCTTTATTTAAACATTCAAAACTTTAGTATTTATGGAAACAATTCCATGGAGAACAATCGGGAGTTCAGTCGGAGATTATAGTTTATCTCATTGAAATGAATGATATAATAACAATAATATAATTATAATTGTAATAATATCCGTTAGAAGATGATTTTTCACACTTTGTCGAGAAATTCCGCTTACACCCACACCCAATCTATGCGGATTTGAAACAGCAAAAGAAACGATGAATTTTTGATATTTTTTGCGGCATATAAAAAAAGAGTAAATGCAGAAACGTATTAAACTGTGCAAATGGACCAAAACAGGATTTTCGGACAAAAAATATCAACCCCATACGTTCTGGATTCCCATGGACTTTGTGTTTCATTACCGCAACTGGTAGACCAAACCTGAAAAACTCTTCTATCAAAAAGCTCCCCTTAGCCGACCACGATACGGTCGGCCCAACTAACCCTACGCACCCAGACTAGTAACAGCTCCTCGATCAACTGCATTGTTTCTACACTAGCTCCCATGATTTCCTCAGCGAATTTTTAGAGGTGAAACTGCGTTGCCATAAAGGTCTGTGAGATATTAATAAGGTTACCGAAACTGGGCTGACAACCGGCATTCTGTACTCAGAATTACGCTTGCCCGGCATGACGCAATAGATCTACGAGTGAGCAGCAAAGTATGATGCGTGGTAATTGATCATCCTGCTG